AGGAGGATGTGAAGTGTTTGCTGCAGAAGATCAGGGACTGCAGCCTTCAGTATGGATTGAGGCTCAATATCAAGAAAGCAAAGATTCTCACCACTGGGTCGATTGGTAGCCCATGATGGATGGTGAAGATATTGGGATTGTTCACAGCTTTGGTTTGCTTGGCTCCACAATCAACACTCTTGGCACCCGCAGCCAAGAAATAAAAAGATGTCTTGTGATGGGAAAGTCTGTGGTTAGAGACCTCTCTAAAGTACTGAAGAGCAACAGTGTCAGTCTGGAGACTACGATGCACCTGATGCAGGCCATGATCTTTACAATCACTTGCTATGCATCAAAGAGGTGGACAATGACTAGGGATCATAGGATAATTGATGACTTTGAGCTGTGGTTTTGGAGTATTGAATATATAACATGGACTGCTAAGAGAACGAACAGGTTTGTCCTGGAGAGGGTAAAGTCAGGTTGCTCCTTGGAGGCAAGGATGCTGAAGCTTCGTCTAACATACTTTGGACATGTCACAAGGAGGAACCAGTCCTTGGAGAGGGACGTCATGCTTGGCAGGGTTGAAGGAAAGCCAGGGGAGGAAGACCCTTGATGAGATGGATTGATTCAGCAACTGGAGTAATAGGAGTAGGTGTGTCAGAGACAATGAGATTGGCACAGGATAGAGCAAGGTTTAGGGCTGTTGTACATAGGGTCTCTATGAGTTGCAGGAGACTCGATGTCACATAACAACAACAACCACTACCACCTTCGAAAGTGTAAATCTCTGTGCTCATCAAAGTGTTTATTCAACAGGATGAAAAGAAAACCTACTGACTGAGAAAAACATTTGGTAATACCATCTCGGCCTCCACAAGAAAAAAACCTGATAACCCGATTACAAAATGGAAGACATGGAAGACTTTCCACAAAGGAAGACATTCAACAGGGCAACAGACACATGAAGGAATGATTAAAATCACTGGAAATAGAGAGATGTAAATCAAAACCACAATGAAATACCATTTACACCAGTAGCAGTGACAAAGTTTAGCAGGGCAGCAAGCAATAAATGTTTGAGAGGATGGGGAAAGGTGGAAACTATCATACAAAGTTGGTGGGATTGTAAAATGGTATAACCACTAAGGAGGACATTTTGGTGTTTTCTCAAAATGTTGAACATGGAAACTCCGTATCACCTAGCTATTCTACTACTAAAATTATGTTGTTGTTGTTGTTGTTATGTGCCATCGAGTCGCTTCCGACTCATAGCGAACCTATGTACAACAGCCCTAAACTCTGCTCTGTCCTGTGCCAATC